ACTGGTGGTTTTGTCATTCTGTCAAGTTTGTTATGCTCACAAAACACTCTCTGTAGTTAGAACAGCTCAGTTTGGTGAGTTAGTGATACTGGGGAGTACAATTGGAAATGTGTAGGTGGCTGGCTGGCTTCCAACCTTGCAGAACAAAACCGTGTAGAAAATGGTTTCTTTTGTGGGGGCAGAGCTTCATATTGTTTTTTCTTTCCTTTTTTTTTCATTGCTCACTTGGAACCAAGATGATGATGGTAAGCTGAAAACTCATCATTTATTAATTACCAAATTTACCCAAACTAACCTGCTCACACTTACTAACCCACAAATGCTTTGTGTGCCTTAAAAAACAAGTGTGTGGTTTGTTGTTTTTTTTTTTTTTAAAAAAAAGGACCTTTAAATGCAATTCTAATTGTTGGGCAAAAGAGAGAACTGTTACTTCCTAACTCTCATTAACAGATACAGTAGCTTCTCTTGCTTACATATACAGACTGCTGTATTCTGGGAAATCCTTCTGTCTTGCCTGGATTGCTACAAGCCAGAGATGGAAAGAATGACGTGGCCTCCATTTTGTATGATTGCCATTCTGAGAACTTATTTCACCTGGTATCCTTAATGACAAGGTTAAGCCTGTAGCAAACTGTTAAGATCTGAGGAGATTACAGCTAAAATATTTGACCCTCTTTGCTTAATATTTCTACAGGGCTAGAATGCGATGCGTTTTGTAAGGAAAAAATTCTCCACCGAGTCCTTCGAAATGTAAATAGCCAGTTGCTTGTGGTTCGACCCGATTTAAACATGGCAGCTTTCGAAGATGTGACAGATCAGGAGATGAAATCTGGTACACCATTTTTCAAATATATACTGTAACCATTACACTGTTTCTTCATTCTAGATGTGCTTTTGTTCTTTGTAATCACTGACTCTAAATGATGGGACTGAGAGTAAAGATTTAAACTTAATTCGTAAGAATAAAGCTAAGCTAACAGAACTGAAATTTTGTGTCTTGTGCATTGGTAATGGGTTAGATTCCTGGATTAGACTGAGGCCTGCAGGATGTCCCATGCAGAAAAGGGCTGGTAAGATTTTTTGTTAGCTCTGATCACAAACTAAATTCTTAATCCTTTTGTGTGTGTGTTGGATTACAAAAAATCATTATTAGGTTTAAACGGACAATGTATTTAGCACTAAAAGCTCTTTCTTCTAATGGCAGTAGTTAACAATGTACTTACGGTTTTGGCTTTGATATTTTTTGGGGGGGGGGTCAGCAATTCATTCAGAACTGTATTTGTTGAAGGTATTTATTTACAGATCACGTATATACAGATATAATCTGATTTACAGATGACTATTTACAAATCCAATTCTCACTTTATGCATGCACATAAAAGGATTTTAATATCCTACCCCTACTAACTGGTAACCTCACATGCTTTCTTGCAAATTCAAAATCTCGGTTATTGAATGATTGCAGAAAGTCAAATATGTGCTACCGGCAGTCATAAAAATTAAAGTCTTGGCTCTTCTGTCAGGAAAAGTATCCTGGGAAGACAGCAGTTGCCACTGGAATGGTAAGACGTAATGTTAAATTGTTGCAGCTCTCTCCTGAGCACATGATTAATAATAAACACTTTCTATTTAGGCAATGGAATGCACTTCAACATTCACTATTACAAAACTACCACACCTTCAGCAGGGATGCCTGTTGCATTCAGTGTCCAGGTAGAAGATAAAAGTTATTACATGTGTTGTGAGAAAGAATGTGGAAAAATGATAGTTCGATTTAGGGTAAGTATCTGTTTTCCATAGCTTATGTATATGTAAATAGTAGGCAAAATAAAGAATTCAAACAAGTATGAGCTGAAACAAAACTGCTCAGGTCTTGTGTTGGGGCTAACCCATTCCCTTTTTCTTCTTCAGGAAGGAGAAGTTCCCAAAGAAATTCCTGGTGAAAGTAATGTAATCTTTTTCAAAAAGACATTTACATCTTGTAGCTCCAGAGCATTTAAGTTTGAATACTCACTAGAACAAGGAATGTTCTTGGCCTTTGAGGAAGAAGGCTCCTTAAGAAAATTAATTCTGAAGAAACTGTCAAGAGAAGATGAAGTGGATGAAACCATGAAGATAAGTTTCTAACTTCAGTCAGAATGAAAGTCGCAACCTATGACGTACTTCAGCAGTCTTAAAATATATTTTGGCTTTTATAAAAGAAATCTTATTCTTTCTTCATCCAAGACAAACCAGTTTTATGTTTTTAGCTACCATAAGTCAATACAAAAAATGAGCATCTTACAAAGGAAAATAAATTCAAATTGTTGGCAAAAAGCAGCAGAAGAATGTTTTCCAGTCAGATAGAAGGAAAGAAAATTACACAGTGAAGAAACAAGAATGTGCATGCCTATATAGTCATGTATAGTTTGATCCCTAAAATTTACTGCCTGTTGATCAAACAGCTTTTGAATTGTGTCTCATAGATGAAGGAGACCTATTTTGGGGAGGGAGAGAAAACTGCTTAAAGTAACAGGTTTCATAAGCAGACCATGCACCTGCCCAATAAACCCTTTGACATTACTTTTTTGCATCAAGATTATTTCCCGAGTATCTTCGTCAATCTCAGTTACACAGTGACATTCTCACCTTCAACTGAATTAGAAACAACAGACAACTTTTAACTTGCTGGCAATCTTTGCTTAGAAAACTGCTAGCTTACCTGAACAATTAAAGTTCTAATAAAGCTGTTTGTCCTCAGAAGGCCCAAGAAAAAAAGACTTATGCTTTCATGTAAAGGTTTTTAAAAATTAACAGTAAAATGTAGGTTAGTGATGAAATTAAACACAGTTTGTCCTTCTAATAATTTGGAACAAATGTAGATATGGCTGGCTCCCATAAGGACCCTATCTTACTCCGCGTATGTGAAAACGCAGTGTACATTGGGGTCAGGCTGTGAACTCCATTTCACATTCAGAGCCAAGCAGGCACTGGATTTCACCAAAACCAAAACGAACCATTTGGAATGCATTACATTAATATTGAGGAAATTTATATGGCAGGTATTATTCTTTTCTTCTACATGTAAGTGTTGGTCTTCCTCTTCTGTTCCAACACCAGGTAGTGATAACCTGAACATTGGTTGCAGCTGGGGTCCTGGGTCTTCAACTTGCCATGCAGAAGAGCTGGTACAATTGTCGTACCCCATACAGGGAGAAGTAATCAGAGAAAACAGGAAGGCCTCTTATCTGTCATGAAATGGAGGAAAATCCTCAAATTTGCAGAAGAGATAAGTCTCAAGACTCATTTTGGTAAAAAACAAACCAAAACTGTAATTTCAGGGGCTTTAAAAAAGCATAGACATGAAAACTGCTGTGATTGATAACCCTGACTGTCTCAGCTTTTTGTGTTATGCTGCCCCTGCCATTTCACCTATCTAGTTGCTACAGGAGCACCTAGAGGCAGTAAGAAACCATTTATTTAGAATCGGGTACAGCCACCGAGTGCACTGTCACTTAGGAAGAAGTCACAGGAGGGGCTTTAAATACATTCTTGAGCACATACAGATGCATCTTCTGTTTGGTCTCAAAAGAGGAAATGACAAACATTTTCTATAATACATGCTCAAATTGTACAGAGGTACTTACCAATGACTCATACATACGCACCTGCCTCACTATGACAAAATAATGAATGTTACATTGCTATCTAAAACAGATCACATCAGACAGAAGCAACCATCTCAATTCTGACCACAAGATTAGCAAAAGGGGCCAGCTACATAGTATTTCCCATGGTTACATGAATAAGTAAGTAAATAAATAAATAAATATTCCACTCCAGACTTAAAAAAAAATTAAATCACAAAGTCTTGTAGAATTCAAACAGCAACTTATTCATTCTGTTTATTGCGTAATCAGACTGATGGTAACACACAATTCTCTTCCTCTGAGTAGTACCACAGAAGTACCATTAGAATGTGGAAACAATTAACCACTCCTTACTACTAGGAAAGTCAGAAAAGATAAAGGAGAGAAGTTAAAAACCAGAATCTCATTTACCCCTGCTAAAATGCCCTAAAACCTAAAGACATAGAAAAGAATGCTGCCTCAGTCTCATGTCAAGGTATGACAGAAAGGGTGTGTTTGTTGTCTTTTCAGTCACAAAGGAAAATGTGTACTTATGTTTATTTAGAAAAACAAACCCCAAAAAATGTTGCAGATGAACATACAGGTTCCAGGGAAACTGTGAAAGCCATATGCTATTTATGGCTCCTAAAATTTATCTGCAAAAGTCTTTTCTTCTAAGTCAATTATTGCTGTATTTTCTAATGGACATTGCTCCATTGCTCTTGTATTAAATCAAGTCTAAGTCACCTCTTGAAGTATTAAGGACAATACATATTTATAAAAAAAGTTTTATTTTTTAACATCTAAATGAAGTAACGCAGAGTAACAGTATGAACAGTAACAGTATGAATTAGTATGTGAACTTGGTTTTAGAAGGAAAAAAAAAAACAAACCTATCCACAGAGAAAACATTTTAAGTAACCCAAAAGTAGTAAAAATCATTCAGAAGCACACACACACAATTTCTGTAAATTCTTTATTGTATGGATTAAGAAAAAAGTATTCCCTTTTCTACATCAGCTCTCAGGGTCCAAAGAGTTACAGGGTGTGCCCTACATAAAGTTCAGTTGTTGTGATGTCAGAAATAACAGTTCAATTTTCCACAAGTCAAGTTTGTTTTACAATATAGGAAACCAAACAACAGTTATTTTGTTATATGTTAGCAAAACACTTGTTAAAGCTGCCATTACAAGGGAAGTTACCTTCAGCTATGTAAGTCTGTCACTGATGTAATTAATTCCTCCCAATTTACAGTGCAGCTTAAATCAAATCACACTCACCTGGACATTATCCACTTTAAATGTACTTCTCTAACATTTTTACTGCTGTTGGATATTCATTTCTAAAAGACTATCTCTGAACTTGCTGCAGTATGTACATACTATGGACCCTTGGTTATTCATTTGTTTTGCATTAAACACGTTGGGAAAAATATGGTGAAGCAGAGGCAGCAGTGAACAATCATGTTTGTCAGGGACTCGGTTGCATCTTAGAGGCTCCACAGCATGGCAACAGCTTTGCAGATACCAACATCGTAATAGTTGAAGCAGCAGAGGCCAGCAAAGGTAACGGCCGACAGTACATACAGACCTGTATTGGCCAATTTAATGGGTGTATCTCCATGGACGTAGTCAGTTATAACCTGTCCAAGACCCCTGCAGAATAAGGGGGGGGGTGGGGGGAGAGATTAAATCAGGAAAGAGCATTCCTCACTGAAATCCACCCAGTTTATGTGAGCATTCTACTAAGATGAATCAAACACATCATTTTTTTTCACCCGCTATCATCAACCTTTCCCAAAGAATGCCCAGCTCCCACTCAAAGGAAGATACATCTATTTTAAAAAAACCAAAACGACATTCCACATATTCTATTAAGAAATATACATATTGGCTCAGAGTTTTCTTAATGGTACTGAGGAAACAAGGTGTTGAGCACAGCTCTTTCAACAATAGAATCTGCAGAATCTGCCTCCAAGAAACAGTGGGCAGCTTATCTGACTTCCAAGGACTGAAGAAAAGTAACAAAGGAAATACCTTTCTTGCTTGAATGGCAATGTGTGGCTCTGGGACCAGCCACTGTCACAAATGTACAGAAGACTCCAGGATACGTATTTAGATTAGAAAATAGTAGCAACCAAAAAATTAGCATACTCTGGGTTTTTTCTACATCTGTCAGACTGGAAGTGAACTCTTGTCCAGATTTAAACTATCCAGCAACAGGAAGACAGAGGATGCTATTCGACCAATGTGGTAGTTCTCTTCCCAAAAGTACAATTAGATTTGTTTTCTGCAATGACAGATGTCAACCTGGTAAAAAAAGAGAACCCTATTTAATGCAACAATTTTCTTCCTAGATTTTGCCTTGGTCTAGCCTGAAGCTGAAGGACCTGTGTCCCACAAATTAAGACACACTAGTGACCTAGCAAGGTTTAAAGTCCTGGAGCAGATGCCACTGCAAGTGAACGCTGAGCTCGGTTTCACTTAGATGGGGTTCTAATACCATAAAGATGTCAAAAGCAAGAAAAGGGTTGCAAGGAACCCCTGCACACACAGAAGAGAAGCAGAAAGTGGAAGCAGGCTGAAAGGCAACTACTCTCAAACTATTACAGCTGTTTTTTATGACTGGAAGTGGAATAAGGTCGGGAGCGCAAGCAGCACTTACCCACGCTTCAAGCCTTCCAAGTGCAGATAAATAAGGCATACTTAACTTGGGATTCACAGGCTGCCCTTCAACTGTAGTGTTGATAAGGGATTTTCATAAGATCTTTTCTTTGCATAGCACAATAAGACTGAGTCATACTAAGACTTCTCAGAAAAATGGGTATGTGACAGGACGCTACTTAATTCACACAAAATCCTCATGGGAAAAGACCAGTGGCCCTGAGAACAAGAAAGGGAATTAGTGAGAAATAGCAGATGTGTGGTAGATGCATAATCTAGCTCACAACACAGCAGCTTCACTGGGCAGACAAATCTTTATTACAAGCCAGCAAAAATGGTACAAGATAAACATGGCTTCAGGTATCTTCAGTAAGCTATTGATAGGTTAGTGTTTGGACTGATAACCACCTAAGTATCTGGAGCACTATTTCCAACATACTTTGGGACAAGATTTCCTAAGGAAAAACATAGCAAAAGGTGAAAGAAAACCCCTCAAAAATATAGGCAATACTCCTCTGCAGTTTCTGATCAGCTACTAGAGGGATTATCTGATCTGTTATGGCAATCAAATTAACGTTTATGGCAAGCAAACGATCATTTTTCTTTTAAAGATATTCTAGCACTGAACACCTATGAAAGTACAAGAGGAGAATTTTCCTACATAGGAACCCCTTTAGGTTTTTAAGAGAATGTTTTGCAAGATAGGAGTTTAATACTGGAGAAACTTTCCAGCTTAAAAAGAGAACAAAAAACCCACACAAGCTGGGGAGGAATTCACTCTGATTGAAGTTACCAGCAGAGCTGCACCCAAGCAGCAAGACATTTTTCTGATGGGGGAAGTCCCCACACTGCTTATGGAAAAGGGATTTCTAGTATAAACCATCACGACACTTTCCTCAACAAGAGACATTCATTAAAGAATCAAATGTGTGTGCATTGACACAAAATGTCTTCCAGAGAACCCATTTCAACACATCAACCTGCAACAACCTGTTCCGTTGCCTGGAATTTCCCCACATGGTCACATCCAGTATGGTACCAACACGCACATACCAAACAAGTGAAGAAACGCTCCAAAGGCAGGCAAGCTTAGCTTTATTTATTTTATATTTGAAAGAGCTCTGCCAAATATGTTCAAGGATAGTCACGTTTCAGATTGCTTCTGTACTAGATTTGAGGGCTTTGGCAAGAAGCTCTCAGTCACAGCGAAGAAAGTGCAAGAATCCCTGGTACAACTTTGTAAGGGCAAAACTGAGATTTCAGAAAACCTGGCATCCCAAAGTACCATCAAGTTGCTTATCCGCTTTATCCCTGTGACAAGGAACTACAGACCAGTATCACCTCAAGACTGTAAACGCTGCCAGTTAGGCCAACCATGCAGATGGATCCGCTCCTACCTAGACTCGTCTAGCCTACTCACATTAAAGATCACAGCAGAAGTACACTTAACAAGAAGAACAAGAGCAAGTATCCATTTCCCAGGAATCAAGAAAATAATTATCAAGGTCTCAGTTTCTTTAGTGGAATATTTGCTATGAACTTTTTATTATGCAGAATCCCATCACCATTGAGATGTACAAAGCCAGCCCACAGCACAGAACCTTAGAAGAACAACTTGTTTTATATAGATCTGTCCTGCTTCTGTTCCCTCTGTTCATACAACATTGATTCTTCTACAAGATAAAAATGTCCAAGATTCTACATAGCCAGCAGCAAGGAAGTCCTCCTAAGGTAAGATACTGTGTAGAAGAACACTAGAGAATGTTTATGGATTCCTTAACAGTAATATGTATCCTGCCTTCTGACTGGGAGAACAGTGTGACAAAGGAAGACCAAGGTACAACTAGTCTTGTCAAAGATCACAACTGTCACAGAACTTGAAGAGTAAGGGCTTTGTTTGCATCTCCTTCCCGGTGTTTTATACTAGATCAGGAAATAAGTCAGTGGGCTTACTGCCATATACAGATTTAAGACCTAAGGCTTGGAGCCATCGTGACTATCAGACTTTACTCTTAATTCTGAGGGACCTGTTGTGCTTACCAGTGGCCATGGAGAGTGAGGGCTGCAGCCAGTGAATAGTCCATGGCTGGTCCAGGATACAGGTAGGCTGCAGGAAGAAGACCCAGCAAGAAGACACTGACAGCTCGCTCACCTGTCCAGTGCAAAGACGCAGCCTTGGAACTGCCTGTAAGGAGAAATATTTTTCAATGCAAAGTTCCAGTTCAAAGTGCTGCAACCTTAAAAACAGATACCTCATCCTGATCAGCACCACACAATTACATGTTCTCTCCAACCTGATTACTAAGCTTTCATCCAAGCAAAACCTAGATGCCTTTGAATTACTGCTACAAAATATTTATTTTACAATATCTAAAAGGTTAATTTTAAATATTCCTCTCTTTGCTGCTGCTAAGACAGACAAGCTTTTACTACAAAAGAACAGAAGCTCAACAGGTAAAGTCAAAATAAACACCAGTCCTACTTTCACAAGCTGTGGTTCAGGACTAAGGTCCAAGTCAACCATCACAGGAAAGAATCACAGAATCATAGAATCATTTAGGTTGGAAAAGACCTTTAAGATCATCCGGTCCAACCATTAACCTAACAAGTGTCTCCAAAGGCAAAGCCTTTTTTGTCTAGTGAATTCCCTGACTGTTACGTACTATTTACTACTCCCACCTTTTGAGAAATGGCTTTGAGATCCAGACGGACACAACTACAAGTTCCAGTGAATGGCACATTATGACAACTCTGTGCACAGTTCTGCCCAGGAAACAATATTGCTATTTTTAACTGTAAATAGCAGATTAAACTTCTGGGACCATCACAGTGATACGTGGCCTAGAAGCAGCCTGAAGACCAAAGGATTTCAGTCCTCCACTGATACTCAGCTGGGTACAATCTGAACCACATAACAGATGACTCTAGAAATAGAAATAGGGAGCTCTGTAACCAACTCTTACCTTTTAGAAGCATGCAAATAGCATTAGGGAGGAAGAAAACCAAAAAAACATCTAGAAGGTTCTGGAGCAAACCAAAACCCTAACACCATAAGCAATACTTTGACCCAGAATGTCAGCATCAGCCCAGGCTAAAAGAATCAAGAACTGACTCTATGAAAATAACCTTTATCATACAATACCCCCAAAGTGCTTACCTAACACACAGATATCACCCATCCATCTAAACCAAAATGCAAAAGTTTTTCATTTTTGCAAGGAGAAAGAAATTTAGAAAAGTGACAAGATAAGGAAAGCAAAGAACCTGAACTAAACCAGGAAATGGACCTAGGCTGTGGACTAATAAGCTGTCCCTGTAGAACTCCATGGCCAAAACCACTTCGCAGCACAGGCATGAAGTTTGTTGTTAATACAAAGTCCAGAACAGAAAGGAAGGAAACGGTTTAGCTGTGTTTAAGCCAGTATCTTTTACAAGCATTTAATCATCCTTTCCACTTCTAAGTTGCGTTGTAAAGACTGCAAAACATCCCTAACCTCCGGTCACAACATTTCTCACATTTAGTTGCGCAACTGACAGACCAGAACTTGGTCTTGGTATGGTGATGTTTCATCACCTCTGTGCAGTCTTACCACACGGAGGGAGGAAAAAACTATGTAAGAAATACTCTCTGCCTGCAGATCAGACTTCTCAGATTAACCTCAGTGAATCAGAAGCTCTACCGTTCAAGAAAGAAATCACAACTGCAATGCTCCCGAACTGTAAGAAATGTTAAACCTTCTTTCTGATGTCTTTTAAAATCTTTCAGCCTTTTTTTCCGCACTCGAAAGAACCACCAGCACCTTTGTTAATAAGCAGAGACTTACTTTTTTAACACACAGTTAATGTCTCCCGTTTACAGACTTGCAGCATTCGCCAGCTCCGCGCCGACATGGCTAACGCCAGTTCCCAACCCCGGCAGCGCAAGGACACAGGTACCGTGTTTTGAACCGGGGACACAGGTACCG